CTGAAAGAAAGTGGCATCATTTACAGAATATCATGTCTTTGTTGTTGTTATATTATGTTGTTACTGTTTATCTATTCATCTATTTATATATTATTTTTATATACATTTTACTATTTTTCCTTTATCTCTGACACTTCTATTATAAAGGGCAAATAGCAATATTAAAATATTTCTTCTTATTAATTTCCTTTCAATGTGCATGAATCTGTGCACCGGGCCACTAGTTTATGATAAAAACTCTCAGCAAAATGGGAAGAGGAATCATATCTCAACATAATAAAGGCTATATATGACAAACCTACAGCCAACATCACATAAATGGGCAAAAACTAAAAGTGTGTCCCTTAAGATCAGGAACAAGGCAGTGATTTCAACTTTCACCACATTATTCAACATATAACTGGAAGTCCCAGCCATAGCAATCAGACAAGAAAAAGAAATAGAAGGCATCCAAATTGGAAAGGAGGAAGTAAAACTATCATTATTTGCACATGAGATGTACACAGAAACAATTCCACCAAAAAACTATTAAATAAAATAAATAATTTCCCAAAGTAGCTGGATACAAAATTAAAATTCAGAAATTAGGAGCATTTTTATGCACCAATAATGAAGTGCCAGAAAGAATAATTTTTTTAAAAAAACCCCACACATTTACTACTGCAACAAAAGAAATAAGATACTTAGGAGTAAACTTAATCAAGGAGGTAGAAGACTTGTACTCAAAAAATTAGTGCAGTTTTAGGTTTATAGAAAAACTGACAGGGAATTACACAGATTTCCCACATACCTTTTGTTTCTCCACCTCAAACATACACACTCACTCTCCCCTCTTATTTACATCTTGATACAATTGATAAGCCAACATCAATACATCATCATTAACTAAAGTCCATAGCTTAGATTAGTGTTCATTCTTTGGGTTCTGACAAATGTATACTGACATGTATCCATCATTATTGTATCATACAAAATAGTTTCAGTGACCTAGAAATCACCTGTGCTCCATTCATCACTCCCTCCTCCCAAATCACTAGCAGGAGATGCTCTTTCTAACGTCTGTGTTTTGTCTTTTCCAGAAGGTCATATAGTTGGAATCAGAGTATGTAACCTTTTCAGATTGACTTTTTTCTCCTAGTTATATACTTTCAATGTTCCTTTATGTTTTATTGTGGCTTAACAACTCATCTCTTTTTATTTATTTATTTATTTATTTATTTACTTACTTACTTACTTACTTATTTAAAAATATATATTTTATTGATTTTTTACAAAGATGAAGGGAGAGGGATAGAGAGTTAGAAATATCGATGAGAGAGAAACATCGATCAGCTGCCTCCTGCACATCTCCTACAGGGGTATGTGCCTGCAACCAAGGTACATGCCCTTGACTGAATCAAACCTGGGACCTTTCAGTCCGCAGGCCGATGCTCTATCCACTGAGCCAAACCGGTTAGGGCAACTCATCTCTTTTTATAATTCCGTTCTATGGATGCACGACAGTTCACTTATCCATTCACTTACTGAAAACAACTTGGTAATTTCCAAAATTTCCATTTGGTTCTTCTTTATCTCCATTTTCTTTTGTGTGCCTTAGAAATAATCAAAATTGCTTGCTGAAACACTCATAAAATTCTTGCCTGATTTAAAATTCTTGTCAGATCATATAATATCTAACTCATCACTGTGTTGTCACATCTTGTCTTTTCTCATTGAAATTGAGATCTTCCTGATTTTTAGGATGAGGACTGATTTTTTCTTTTAATTGAATCTTGGTATTCTAAGACTCTGGATCCTGTGTTTTAGTGGGCTTCCTGTGACACTGCTCCAGCTAGAGAAGAGGGACACTGCTCTGTTCCTGCTTGGGGTGGGAGGGAAGTCCAGTTTTTACCAGAGGCTTCCATGGACACCTGGAGAAGGTGAAGCTCCTTGTTCCTGCTGGGCAGGGATGGAAATTCAGGCTCCTCACTGGGCCTCTGCTGATACCACAACAGCAGGAAGAGCAGAGGTGCCTCGCGACTGCTCTCACATGTCCACCACTGCCACCGTGGGTGGGTGGACTTGTTCGTGCTGGGTCCTGGTAAAGCCCTAACTCTGCATATTCTCAGCGGACACCACTCCAGCAAGGAGGAAAGGAGGCACTTCACACCACCCGGTGGGGGTAGCTGCTTGTAGGCTCCCCATGTGCTTCACACACACAATGGGGTTGGGGACTTCCCTTACCGCCTTGTGGGCACAAAAGTCTTGGTGTCCAACTCAGCCTTCTTCTTTGACACCACCTTGTGGGGATGGAGAAGCTGGTGCGGGGAGAGGAGGGTATGAGGTGCAGCTGGGGCTTCTTGTTACAGCCTGGCAAGGATAACGGGCTAGGTTCCTAGTCTTTGTGGGCAGAAGCGGGGCTATAGGTTTTCCACTGTGTTGCTTAGAGCAGGCAGTTACTGTCTAAAAGTAGTCTTCCTTGCTAGGCTGTCCCTTTCCTAGTCCTCTGGCTAGAGACAGACCGCTTTTCTGAGACTGTTTTTTGTCTGCATCCATTGTTGTTTCTGAGCATTCTGGAATATATGGAGCAAAAAATAAATTAAAAAATCTAGGAACTCACTAACGTGTCATTCTTGGTATGTTGGGGTCCCTAGTCAGTCTTCCTTCTTCCTCCAGCCTTTCAGTGTTTTTTGCTGTTTTTCAAAATGGTTAAGATAAAAATGAAATGATTTTAGACCCAGAAAATAAAACCATAAGCCAGCACTGAATTAATGTTCTCTGCCTTCTTATTTTAAAATAGGCCCCAGCCAAAATTAATTCAGGGAAATAAATACATATGTAAATTAAATGTAACCTGTAATTTCAGTGTAGAGATGAATTTATCTTGAGTTCTCACTTGTTGTTCTAGCTGGAGAGTATTCTGGTATTTTCCAGCTTCGGAAACTGGAGCCCCTAGACCAAAATCATGTTCTTTGGTGGTAACCTAGTGGAAAGAATGGGAATAATATCAGGACATTCTTTTTAAAACAGTTTTGTGGTTTCTCACAACAGTACTATATATAAATTTTTTAATCTAATCACATTCTTAGATACATTTTCAATCGGTTTTAACCTTGTCACACCAGCAAAGAATATTTCAGCAAGCTTTACTTTCTTAACATTTTATGTTATAAAACTTTTTCTGTGTGCTTTCCAAATATAAAACTACAATATCGAACATGCTTTTCAAAAGAGACATACCCCATCCTACCCCCTTGGTAATCACTGTAACTAAGAAAATATTGGGTCAGCAGCAAATTAAGTATCTATCTCTAGGCCTGTGTTTTCCAAAAAGGTTTGCTACGCATATCATAAAGGGCTGACTTATTTGTAATATATTAATAATTCCTATAAATAAGAAAGGAAAAGAAATACCCTGGTAGAAAAAGTGGCAACGAATATGGATACTTCATATACATGACTTTTAAATAGATTTAAAGATACTCAATCTCTCCATTTAGAGGGATACACATTAAAACAACATTGAATACCATTTTTTAACTCACCTTGGCAAAGATAAAATAGTTGGCTATATAATGTAGCATTTTTATGTATCATTGGTGGCAGTGTAAATTGGCACAATGTTTATAGAGAATTATATAAAATCTAGCAGCATAACAATAATTTCATTTCTAGAATTTTTTCCAGTGTGTACATTTTTTCATGTGCAAAATAACCCAATATTTTACATTAACATATTATACATACTACTATGCACTGTGGTTTTTTTACTTGACAATGTATCTTAGAAATTGTGTAATTTAGGAAAATAATCAGTTCTTTTCCTGAATAAAGGCTGCCTGAATGTTAAGGAAGACAGAATTTGCTACAAGTGTCCTAGAGCTCTCCTACCAACACAGCTGTTAGTCTCTAAAACAGTGGTTCTCAACCTTCTGGCCCTTTAAATACACTTCCTCAAGTTGTGACCCAACCATAAAATTATTTTCGTTGCTACTTCATAACTGTAATGTTGCCACTGTTATGAATCGTAATGTAAAATATCTGATATGCAGGATGGTCTTAGGCAACCCCTGTGAAAGAGTCATTCGACTAAGGGGTCGCGACCCACAGGTTGAGAACCTCTGCTCTAAAATCTAGTGCTCCAGATATAATAGGATCAGGACTCCCCAGTCACTGACCTTGAGTCACACCTTGTCTAATCTAACACTTAGCAATGTGACAGATTAATCTTCCTTCTTCTCTTTCCTAAGCAAAATATGTCGGTTTTTTGGTTTTCATTTCAGCAGTTACTGCCTCATTTGGAAATTAAGCATTAGCTCCCACAGAGTATTTCTAATTATGAATCATTTAGGCCAGTGGTTCTCAACCTTCCTAATGCCACAACCCTTTAACACAGTTCCTCATGTAGTGGTGACCCCCAATTTCATTGTTACAAATTGAACATAATTAATGCATAGTGATTAATCACAAAAACAATATGTAATTATAGATGTGTTTTCCGATGGTCTTAGGCGACCCCTGTGAAAGGGTCATTTGACTTCCAAAGGGGTCGTGACCCACAGGTTGAGAACCTCTGATTTAGGCCTTTATGGCATAAGCTGAAACCCTAATTACTATTCCTTACAGTTTCTGTTGAAAAATATGTTCCTACTTATAAAAATTTCACTTAGAATAACAGAATCAAATGACTCCTCACTCTAGCAGTATTTTTCAGTTTTTAGTGAATATACAAGTCACTTGGGAATCTTGTTAAAATGAAGATTTGTACTCACAACTAGAGGCCCGGTGCACAAATTCATGCACCGGTGGGGTCCCTCAGCATGGCCTGCAGGGATTGGGCCAAAACTGGCATTCCATCGCCACCTGCGGCTCCTGCCTGCTACTCCTGCTTATCCTGGCCCCGCTTCTCCTTCCGCGGGCCCCTGCCCAGTCAGTTCTGATTGGGAGCGGCTCATGCCATGGCAGCAGCGCTCGCCAGCCTTGAGCCCTGTGTCTAGCACCCATCCCAAGGGGGTGAGTGGGAGGTGGTGGGAGGAGGAAGGTCTGGGATGGGATTGGCACTCCAGGCGGGTGGTGAGATACCCTTGCAGGCCCAGGATCCAGATCTGTCCCGCTGACGTTTGTGCTTGTTGTCGGGAGCCACCTGGTGGCTGCTTTTATATCGTTTCTTCCTTGTGGAGTGTCTAGGGAGGGGAAGTGGCACTGTTGGGATTGTGCTGGTGATGCTGACCCATCAATGCCTGGCCCATT